CAGTATGTAGATGTATGGAAGCCCATTCAATACTGTTTCGATGTATGTTTATTAGTCTCTCTTACAGTCGAATTATTAGTCTTCAGGGTACTGTAACAAGGTGCAAAAAAGTAGGACGTAGAACACCATTCATTCCATTTCTAGTCGAACTGTAACTAAAGGTTCGTGCAACTTTGCTTTCGCAATAGGAATTTCAACAGCACCCTTTCCGTAGCCATGATTAGCTTAACTCTGCTCGCTGATCTAGATCTAGAAACGACGATCATCAAATTTATCAATCTACCCATTCTCAGTATTGTCACAGTGGTAGTCTACAGTAAAGTATTAGCACTTGTAAATGCTGGGCATGACAGTAGAGCAATATCATCAGTTAGAAATATTGAAATAGATTCTGAAGGCAGTTGATTTCAAGCAACGGGACCTTCTTATTACTGCCATATGTGTAGGCTGCTTACCGCTGACTGTAATCTTCAAAGTACATGTCATAATTTCCACGGCCATTTCTGAGCTTGTCTTGTCAACATCGAGTCAGAATTCTTGTTGCCATACCCCCCTCCCCTCGTTAAGGTTCAAGCCGGCATGGACACCCATGGAATCAAGATGGAAATCAATGACCATGCCAACTGCTTCGTTACTCCCTTCCATCCCAAAATTACCCACATGTAACCATGACAGGTTAAAGGGAGATAATACAGAATCACAAATCCTGACACTATCCTTGTAACTACTTACAATGTGTTACAGCATTCAATATTTATATGACCAAAACTCCTACTTAGTTTTATATATTTCATATTATATTTGCAATATTGTATTAAAAATTTTCATTTATGTTTTTTATATTTGTATGCTACACGTTATCTTTTCTTTAAATAATATTTTATTCAGATAGATATGAAAAGGATTGGGGAACAGGCTTTCATTATAACCCCTCTCCCGATTAATCATTTCTTATTTTAGTCCAAGTTCAATGTCTCGCGAAAAATTCAATTCAGTCAACTCCCTGCGCTTCTCATCAGTGGCGGAGTCAGGTTTACGTCCGAGGAGGGGTATCTGAGGTTTTAACCTAGTTATGAGATTCTTGCCCGAAAAACTGCACCCCCTCCCCCCCCCCAATTTGACTCCGCCATTGCTTCTCGTGGCTCACTCCCGCCACTCAGCAAATATGCAGGTCCAATGAGGTGAACGATGGAAGCAGCTGAAGACAGCTAACATGTTGAGAAATAACATTTACATATTTATCAATAAGATATTGAATAATAAATGCAATTTGATTAGGGGTAGAATTCGATATGCTTAGAATCATCAAATCATCGATTAGCAAGACGGGTGTATTTATAGGGGCACAGGGGTAGAAATAAACTGTAAATGTGCTGTTCATTAACTGAATCGTTCACAATTCTAAAGTTGTAGTGCAATGAAGGTAAATGAGGCAATGCCCCCATTTTTCAAACGACTCTACGAAGTGTGTCTTTTTTCAATTATGTATTTCAAATCCACCTAGATCACCCTTTGCCTCATTTTAATTTGGATTGCGCTAAGGCTTAATTCGGAATGAATAAACGTAACCAGCACGTTATCGCTGAATATTTACATTAAAAACCAACACGTTAAGGTAAGGTTTTGTTAATTTACGGAATTAAATATAGTTTTTGTTTCGATGTAAGGTGTTGTTCTGTTGATTTGTTTTGAGTTCAGTAATTATTTTTTGCTTAGTATGGATACAGCGCCTGGCGATTTGAAGGGAACCTAGCGCATATCGCACAACATCTTCACAATATCAACCGTAAAAAGACCTCGTCTAAATAGCTTGGCTTCCTTAGACTTTTTTCCTGTAATACAGAAGTTTGTAAATGCAACGATTTGATTGGAATCCTGCCGAATACAGATAATCAGAGCCTTCGACGTCTGTTAACCATCAGTCATTATGCTTACAATCTGTACGTTGAGGGCATACGAAACTACCAATGTAGTTTACAGCTATTTTGAATCTCTAATATGACCTAGTAAGTCAAATTTCTGAAAAGGCTATAATATTCAACAAAACCTTCAAATCACATTTAAGGTAATCTCTAAACCTTAAACTGTGATTTAAAGGCTTTGTTTAAATATTCTATGAATGAAGGACAATTCCCCCACCCCCGTACCTCCACTGGCAAAGCTACTGAATTGCACCAACTTGAGCTCGTTTTATAGTATACCCTAACTCACAACTGTAATATACATAGTTGCATGTTCAAGGCATTAGTCATGTAACAAGGAAGTTTTATATTACTTAATTTAAGATTGAATCGAAACTGTTACGCCCCCTAGCCCATCACTCATACTTTCCTAGTAATGAGCCACCATTGATGTGACACGATAGTAGTGAGCCACCATTGATGTGACACGATAGTAGTGAGCCACCATTGAAGTGACACGATAGTAGTGAGCCATCATTGATTTGACACGATATTAGTGAGCCACCATTGATTTGGCACGATAGTAGTGAGCCACCATTGATGTGACACGATAGTAGTGGGCCATCATTGATGTGATACGATAGTAGTGAACCACCATTGATGTGATACGATAGTAGTGAGCCATTATTGATGTGGCACCATAGTAGTGGACCACCATTGATGTGACACGATATTACTAAACCACCATTGATGTGACACGATAGTAGTGAGCCATCATTGATGTGATACGATAGTAGTGAGCTATCATTGAAGTGACACGATAGTAGTGAGCCATCATTGATGTGGCACGATAGTAGTGGGCCATCATTGATGTGATACGATATTAGTGAGCCATCATTGATGTGATACGATAGTAGTAAGCTATCATTGATGTGACATGATAGTAGTGAGCTATAATTGATGTGGCACGATAGTAGTGGGCCATCATTGATGTGATACGATAGTAGTGAACCACCATTGATGTGACACGATAGTAGTGAGCCATCATTGATGTGATACGATAGTAGTGGGCTATCATTGATGTGGCACGATAGTAATGGGCCATCATTGATGTCGCACGAAAGTAGTGGGCCATCATTGATGTGATACGATAGTAGTGAGCTATCATTGATGTGGCACGATAGTAGTGGGCCATCATTGATGTGATACGATAGTAGTGAACCACCATTGATGTGATACGATATTAGTGAGCCACCATTGATGTGATACGATAGTAGTGGGCCATCATTGATGTGATACGATGTTAGTGAGCCACCATTGATGTGACATGATAGTAGTGGGCCATCATTGATGTGATACGATAGTAGTGAACCACCATTGATGTGATACGATAGTGTTGAGCAATCATTGATGTGGCACCATAGTAGTGAACCAACATTGATGTGACACGATATTAGTGAGCCACCATTGATGTGACACGATAGTAGTGAGCCACCATTGATGTGGCACGATAGTAGTAAGCCATCATTGGTGTGACACGATATTAGTGAGCCACCATTGATGTGACACGATAGTAGTGAGCCACCATTGATGTGGCACAATATTAGTGAACCACCATTGATGTGACACGATATTAGTGAACCACCATTGATGTGGCACAATATTAGTGAACCACCATTGATGTGACACGATTGTAGTGAGCCATCATTGATGTGATACGATTGTAGTGAGCTATTATTGATGTGACACGATAGTAGTGAGCCATCATTGATGTGACGATAGAAGTGAGCCATCATTGATGTGATACGATAGTAGTGAGCCATCATTGATGTGATACGATTGCAGTGAGCTATTATTGATGTGATACGATAGTAATGAGCCATCATTGATGTTATACGATTGTAGTGAGTTATCATTGATGTGACACGATAGTGGTGAGCCATCATTGATGTGACGATAGAAGTGAGCCATGTCAGATGTGGCGCCAGGCAGGGTATGTCTACTCTTCTGACACCTGATACCACTTTTCATTATGAAATACTTACTCACTTATTATTGATATATTTCCTCATGTGAAAACTGCATTTGCTGATTCCAATATTTCGCCAATATGTTGTTTGGATTTCGGGTTTCGTTAAGCGATTCGGATCGTTAGTAGCCTACTTGGTTTATTTATTCAATAATGTCGGTTGAGCCTCTCATAATACTTTTCATAACATAATTGTATCCTATAACATGAATGGCAAAACTGTTCAAAGGGGGGAATATCAAATAGAGTTTACAACCTGTAGCAAAATTTAAACATCACTAATGTGTAGTCCTGTAAACACTGAACCTATTTACTGTCTGCAACAGAGGGTTGGAGACATGTACTATTATCATGGAAAACCGCACACCTTTCGAGTTCCGGAACCTCTCACAGCTATAGCTATACCAGAAACCCCACTTGAAAAATCCTCCAATAGATTAGACTAGAGGGGTTTGTGGGGTAAAAAGCGTGTTGTTTTGTTTTTTAAAATATGAATTGTAACATCCATGTCTAGTTAGAAACATCCAGCCTCTGATGAATAATTTAACAGTTGTCGGCTTGATTAGTCAGAATAATATGACATATTAACTGGTGATTTTTCACACCCCCGAAGATGCGTTTTTTTCAATGACTGTACAGTAGTGTTGGGCATCATCGTAACTTTCGTTTTGTTAGTATCACACGTGACTCCATGACCTTTTGAAATTTAGCAGGTTTAAATGACGGATGCGAGATAAATTTCGATAACAAAAGGGGAAAAAATAATCTAACTGAACTATTATTCATTTTTCCAAACATATCTGGGCTTTTGCAGATCCGAGTATCAAAATAGGTTTAAAACCCGCGCACCTGCGAAGATGCGGAAAGTCAAAATCTGTCCAAATATCTAACAGGCTGGAATAGAGACAGATGTTTCGGTCTAATCAATATCAAGTTTTATACCTAGATCTGCATTTCATTGCCATGTTGAAACTTTTAATATTTCTGCATGAATTGATTTCGAATAATTTACCCCTTGCTTGTATTTGTATACTGCTCACAAAGATATACATATATATCATATATAAAGCCTAATTGACAGTCACATCACAGTACGATATGAGAATGATATCACTTTCTTTCAGAAATTCTTTAATGGCAGACCCGGTCAGTATTCCCAACTCATGCTCTCGGTCACGTGACTTGCTGAAGTCATCTGGTCCATCTCCACAACCACCTTCACCAATGGTCTGATAACCCGGATGTACCATTAGTTCACATACAGGGTTATTGCCCATGTCACATTCAGTAAATGCTGTTGTAATGATAGAATGTAGACGCTCTAGATTCATATTACTTCCCATGGTACTCAAACCAACAAACCCATCCGGTGACCTGAAACATTAGACCAATCAGAACAAAAATCCTTTGAAAAGAAAGATGGTATATTTGTTGAGTACAGTGACAACAAATTTTTGTCAGTTTGCCAGTTGGGAAAGACGCAGATTGGTGGGCTGATATTTGTTCAGATATGACAATTATCTTAATACGAAGATGGGAAAATCAGGCTACTCGATTTGCACCCCGGAAACCCGGATATATCAACTGCACAAGACTGGAAGGATCTCCAACGTGCAGCCTGTGCAGTTGGTAATGGAAAAGAAGAATTGGGGTTTTAAAGGGATTATCAATTTCTTACAATTTTAAATGTATCGAAAGCACTGATAGCACCGATTTGCACCATTCCAATTTTCAGTCAGAAGTCTGTGGTTCCTGCAATTCTACAAAAATAAGGGTTGACGACACTTATCGCAAAATAAGACTACTCGGGATTAGTGACGTCACCAAGTGAGTCAAAAGTATATATATATGTCTCACCAAATTCCATGTTGTTTATAAACAGGCTTGGATATTTGAGCTTCTTTGGCTTTTAAAATCAGGAAATTCTTCAAATCTTCTGACATATGATCCATAGTTTCCATATGAAGTTCAGCGCATTGTCTGGTATACTTGATATTATATTCTTGGAGAACCTGACTGTAGCTCTCTCGAATATCTGTAACAAGAGAAGTGTCGAATAATGTTTCTTAATTGTCTGCATCCCATCTCATGCTGTCGACAAGAGTTTCGGATATAAAAATCTGCATCATGAAATTGGTGTATAATCCTAGACTAATATACGGGTCTTAACTTTAACCGACATTAACAAGGAGGATATGATATAATTTTGAGGTGAACAATGGAGGCTCAAACACAGCCAAAATATTCAAATAACCGTTTAGATTTATTACCGAGACAACCGCCACTTGTCATTCATTCTTCAGAATGCATCATATAAAGGTCACATTTTCAAAATAGTTAATCTTCGACGACAAGGAGAAACCAAACCCTTGACCCCATGTGCTTCACATTAAACAAATAATAAAAGATAGCTTGCCAGGCAAGGTAATATACGCCCACTGGCAGCTTTGATTTTAAATAAATATATTTGGCAGTACAGTAACAATTACCAGTATGATATATTCAACTTTCACACATACACTTCTTTTGAACGTTTTGGGACGATAGGAAATAATATTACCAAGTTTGTTTCGTAAAAATCAGACAAGGGCTGTGCCTTCTGCAGTGTTTACGTACTAAAAATTAAACGCGTTTTCAAGAACAAGGCCAATAACTCTTACTAAATATTTTTCGATTTTTCTGATTTTCAATAGAGTTTATCCTTTGGTGATAACAAACACTCATGCCAAGTTTCGTCAACATCTGTCAAAAACTGTGCCTTCTGGAGTGTTTACGGGCTAAAATTTGAACGCGTTACAAGAACAAGGGCAATAACCATACACCCTATTTTTAGTTTCTTCTGATTTTCAATAGGGTTCATCCTTGGGTGATTACGAACACTCACACCAAGTTTCGCCAAAATCCATCGAGAATTGTGTCTTCTAGAATGTTTACGAGCTAAACATTGAACGCGTTTTAAAGAACAAGGGCAATAACTCATACTAAATATTTTTCGATTCTTCTGATTTTCAATAGCGTTCTTCCTTGGGTGATTACGAACACTCATACCAAGTTTTGTCAAAATCCATCTTGTAGAGTGTTTACGAGCAATTGTGGACGGACCGACGGACGTTACATGGGTGACGACAATATACGCCCCCCCCCATCCCCCATTTCATGTGGGCGTATAAAAATTAGAAATGAATCAGTGTAAAAAAACAATTACAATGGTCCCTATCTGATGAATGATATAGTCTAATCGAGTATAAAAAAACATAAGCGATAGGTGTAATAGGAGAAGGGTTATATAGGCGCATACCTTTCCCCAGTCCTTTTCATGTTAATGTGAATAAGATTCTATAGAAAAAAACCGATTAGGGTTAGATTTCAATGTGAATCGATTTGCAAGATGAGCTAATTTATGGGGGCACAGGTATTTTTAGAGAATAGCCCCGCATCCGTCGTACTAGCAACATAAACACATAGAAGTCAAAGTCACAGAAAGTTCGTAATGTGCAAAATAAATGACAGCCACCACACTTCTGTGCTGTTCCTTGACAGAATCGTGCATAATTCTGACTAAAATCCCTCACTTTTGAAACAACGACTCTTCTTACAATGATGTATTTGAAATGCACCTAGACCCCCATATGTCTCGTTCTAACTCGGATTGCCCTACTGCCTAGAAATAGAGAACTGCCTGGATAGATAAAAATAGAACATTACATATTTCATGTTCAAGATTTACAGTCAACACCAATACGATCAGGTAAGTTTTTTGCTATTTTCCGGAATTAAATTAAATTAAATAAAATTTATAATTTGATTAAAATTAGATTTAAATAAAAAGATCCGATTTGAACTAATATATTCCCGTCGGTGCTTTCACTGTGATATTTTCTTTCCCGTTTGGGTTACTTATCGGGAAAAACAAAAGTGAAGCAAATGCTTATTAATATTTTGGGCCGAATACATAAAACATAGCATGAGCTTATAAGGTAGAGCTGTTAGAAAAGCAAAAGTAAAAACAATTGCTAATTAACCTATAAATAATAAAACGCTGTAACTTTTGTCTGGATGTAAGGTGTTTTTCTGCTGGTTAAGATTTGTTATGAGTTTAGTAATTTTGCTGTGTTGCATAGGCGTACGGGCCGAAGACCTGAGGGGACTCCGATCACCGAAGGCGCGAAAACACTACCTGTCTGTCCCGACAAAATAATATACCTATGGGCCTAGGGTGCAGATTGACTTAACGAGAAGACAACTGTCGGGGTTGAGATTTCAAATACGAAAGATCACAGTCGCAGCCTGGTTTGGAAAATCTTAGGTGGTCCTCCCGATGAAACATTTTGTAAATTTAAATTGATTTGGTAGTTGTTCAAATATTTCAAGAATGTAAACATAAGCAACTGACTGCAAACTACGATTTTTGAGTCAGTATGCTCCGACCAGTTAACGTAAAGATAGTCCAGTTACACAAGTGGCGGACCAACTTTCTGGACAGGTAGACATCTGTTGGGAAAGAGATTTCAAGTACTAAAGCAAAACTGCCATGGAGGTTCTGACCCTAAAGAAACTTTTTTAAACATATAAATTGATTTCGTACATTCTGACAAACATCTGGGGCAAAAAAGCAAAATAATCATATTGTGGATTTTCTAATAAAAGAAGGACAAAATAATGTAACCTCACTGGCCCCGCCACTGAGTTGCACCTAAGTTTTGTCAGGAGCAATGTCAACCTGATATCGTTTTATAGTATACATGTAACAAACTAATACCCTAAACGCTAACACAATATAATTTAAGCGGTTCACATCTTTTGTGATCTCGTTTTAGAGTATACATTAAACATAAAACTGCATAAGGTTAATATTAGCCCTGTACAAATTCACAAGGACGTTTTATATTACAGTACTCACAATAAGATCGAAACTGTTATGCTCACTAGCCAACCACTCGTAAACACGATAACACTGTACCGCTTTTGAATGAAAAACTATCTAGTCCAACTACCTAGTCCAACTACCTAGCATATTTATATAACTTTATGAGATACAAAAGGCTTACCATTTGTGAATAAAAACTTGAACGTGACGATCACAGTCGAAGTGTGAAATTTGAATGTCAAGCTGCTACTTAGGAGCTTGCAAAACTGACAGAAAATGCTTCTTACACTAATGAAAAGGCTGGGTTTATGTATATATGGGGGACGAGCATTTGCCGATTCTTCAGCAAGATCTTTAATATCCAGCTTTCGCTTTTTCTTGATTTTCACGGAGGCAAATTCTTTGGTTTTATGAATGCAGAAGTATGGAAAAGCCCAGAAAAAGCAAATACTAGGTTTTAAATATATCTAAATATCTTTTTTCGATGGGCTATAAAACCTGAAGTTGATTTTTTTCAGCCAATATCAGCATATCTAGAGATAGCTGATGTCCAGGACATTCTACACTGAAGTACAAGATGATTGAAATTCAAACGGGCATAAAAAATTTAAAGTTGATAATCAAAATTCTGTTCCCAACAAGTTTTAAATAAAGTATCAAGGTTTTTGATATACACCGAAATGATACAATTCGGATAAAAAACAAAATAGCGAACTTATTGAGATAACGGCGCATGCGTCACTTCCGGGTTGAATTATTTCTTCTTGGGTGATTCAAATTATGTATTATAGATAATCTGTACTGTTTTTGTCAACATTTGTGAATTACACCGGAAGCAGGGTCGCCCAACATAATTTTGAGAAGCTGGAAGTTCTCACGCCCAAACCGGAATGTTGATGAGCAGTTTTCTTTGTATCGCCCTTATGTCTTTATCCTATAAATTTCAGATCGATCTCATAATACGCACTGAAGTCGAAAATTTCAAAATTTTGCATGCAAATCTTTTTCTCTATAAATTTTTCAAAATTTTCAATTTGTTCAATTGCATCCGATAAATCTTATTACAAAGCATCTAATAAAGAAAACCCGAGGTAAATCGGTCCATCAATAAGCTTACACCCTCCAAACAAATGTTTTGTACATTATGCAATATGTCACTTCCGGTTTAGCAAAAAATTTCAGTTAGCATATTCATTTTCTATTCCAGCTCATTTAAAGATCTCGAGAAAAAGCAAAAATACTTTACCATTTTCAGTTTGAGCTAGAGACGTTCTCGAAAAAAAAGAAAAAACAGAATCGATTGCATAACAAACCGTGACAAATCGATTAAATTTTAACCCGAATAGATAAATCGATTTGCCACGCAATTATAATTTAATACTAGTTTTTAATACAATGTTCTATTTTTTCAGAATGAACTGGTATTTAGTGGGAATTTTGTTTCTGGTGATTAACGCGATGTGTTGTTCGGCTGCTAACTGCAGTCAACAGGAAACAACTTGTGAGTTCTGGATGGTAATTGACATGGCCTTAACTATGATGAGTGATAAGCAAGCTGTATATTCTTCTGACGGAAAACTCTATCAGTGGAATGATACGCTGAAGCTAAAGCCTATAGATCTGGAAAGAGTCATCACTGCCGACGGCTGGGAGACACCGCGTCTTGTTATTGTAGCCAATGGTACTATGCCAGGTCCATCCATCGACGTTTATGAAGGACAAGAGGTGATTGTCCATGTGACAAACAAACTTTCCAGCGAATCAACATCAATTCATTGGCACGGTCTCTACCAAAAAGGTACTCCATGGATGGACGGTGTGGGGTATGTGAGTCACTGTCCGATAGGTCCAGGACATACATTTAGCTACAAGTTTATAGCTCAGCCCACCGGATCATTTATCTACCATGCCCACACTGGAGCCCAAAGGACCATGGGCCTTTATGGACCACTGGTTGTCAAGAAACGTCTAACTATAGAACCAATGGAAGAATATTTTGCGATCGTCTCTGATTGGAATCACGACTGGGATTCGAGTGTGAGTTACTTAAAGATGATAAATGGAATTTTTACCGATCGGGTCCCCTACCAAACAACATCATCTATTGACGGCGCTCAGTTCAGCAGATTTCGGTTCGATTCTGGTTTGATTAATGGTAAAGGTCGGGTTTTGGCAGGAAATTTAAAAGGAAACGAGGCACCATTAAACGTATTTAATGTGTCTGAAGGTAGTCAATACCGATTTCGGTGGGCAAACGCAGGCAACATTTATCCTTTCCGAGTTCAAATCGATCAACATGATATAACAGTTGTTAGCGCCGATGGTTATGATTTAAAGCCAGTTACTGGTGATGCCTTTATAGTGAGTCCTGGAGAGAGGTTTGATTTCATAATAACAGCAAGTCAACCCGTAGCCAACTATTGGATTCGTGCAATCACTCTAGAGGCTGGTGTAGAACATACAACTGTGGCTATTTTACGTTATTTGGGGGCTCCGGAGGCCGACCCTACGTCTGAAGCGAGAGATTGTACAAATAATGTCAGATGCTTGGTTTTTAATTGTCCCTTTCAATATTTCCCACAGAACCATTATACCGATTGTTACACAATGGACAAATTCAGATCTATGGAAGAGTCATCAATTCGTAACGCTAATGAAGAACCAGTAGAAATTTTTTTGAACTTTGCCTTTCCTGGAAACATTACATACCGACCTGGATCTGTAAATGGACGGGCGTTTGAGGGACCCACTGTTTCAGCCCAAACACAGCCTCAGGACCTAGGAGAATTCATGTGTAATGAGGAGGAATGTGGTGACCAGAAAGTGTGCGAGTGTATGCATTCCGTTAACTTACACTCTAACAAATTGTATCAAATTGTTTTGACCAATATGGGCAAAGGCAAAGGCTGGGCACACCCGGTTCATATGCACGGCCATGGCTTCGACGTGGTAAAAATGGGTTACAGCACTTACGATAACAAAACTGGTAAAATTCTCGAAGAGAACATGGACATAGATTGTGGGGGCGGTGTTTCCCGATCCGAGAGCTATTGTAACAATCCTAAATGGACTGACGAAAATCTTTCTGGAAACAATGTACCTGGGCTAGAACTGACCAACCCACCTCGTAAAGATACGATTATCGTGCCAACTGGTGGTTATGTAATATTAAGAATCAGGGCCGATAACCCTGGAGTATGGTTCATGCATTGTCACATTGAACTTCACAATCTTAACGGAATGGCTTTACTACTGAACGAATCGTTTGTCGAGCAACCCAACCCCCCGCCTGGATTTCCCACGTGTGGAAGCTACGTGACAGGTGGTAAAGTCAGCGGTGCTGATAGGCAAGGTATGTAAATTAATGTAAATTAACGAATGCTCCACAACTGCTTCTGACGTGTATTTCGGATATAATATCCTATGTATAAGAACAATAGGTCTATATCTGCAGAATGACCTCTCGTGCTAGTCCTGAGACACTTGATGCCACTATCATTTCGTATAAACTACCTGGCTATAGCGACTGGGTTTTCCAACTAGACAGGCTTTTTTGCAAATTGCTCTACCCTTTTCCAATTCATCTTTTGGTCTACGGAATTCGGAAATCTCACACCAACTTCAAACGACAAGTGATCTCAAATCTTCAAAAATTCCACAATGTTAAAATTGTTTGTTTTTTTACTTTCAGCTTCAGCTGGTAACCGACTGCTCTGGATTTTACTGTCTTTTTGCTTAATTTTGACTAACAATCAACTATTTATGTCAACGTTTGATAGTTAACATACAGTCGGGTGATTCTCGTCACCGTATAGGATAATGGCAAAGGCAAACAGCTGGATATTATAGTTCTTGCTTAAGAATGCTTTTCCCTCAATATACATAAACCCTTAGTGGAAGAGGCATTTGCTGTCAGATTTGCAAGCTCCTATATAGCAGCTTGACAATGGGACAATACAGCTGCCCATAACTCACTTAGCAACGTTTAATATCATCTGGGAAGTTCTATCAATTTAGCTCAGATAGCAATAGAAAAAGCTAGTGTAGCAAAAGATTATTAAAAGGATATTTAGCAGTTGCTTTTACTTTTGCTTTTTCTAACAGCTTCACTAAGCCCATGCTATGTTTTATGCCCAATAGCTCGAACATTAAAAATGGTGTTTGTTCGGAATGTGTCTTTTGGATTATTTCGATTACTCGCCTTTTCGAAAAAAATTGTATTTTAAAAACCTTTGATTTCGTCTTAATATTTCGTAACTGGTATAATCTCGACTATCGGGTCATTTTTATAAATTGCCAAACTCGATATATGTATGTAATATGTAAAATGTTTATAATTTCGCTAATTATGCCCATTATTTTCTAGATGTGTATTTGAATGTTTGTGTGACTTTCAATTATTGTTTTTATTTTTATACTCATATTTGTATTTAATATTACTATATAAATATTTTTCGCTATTTAAAGGACCATATATTATTGTCCCTTTTAATTGTTAAATTGAATGTTTTTAGCGTCTGTGTGATAATCTACAGAGGATAGAACTCACAGATAGATTGGACTCTCGATTGCTAGCGCGCTGAAACATAGCGATTACCCCCTCTCCAGGGGTACAGAATACTGTATTCGCACTAGAGCTGGGAACAGCGACACAAGGCAACTGTCTTGTTTCGTCCCTAACTCATATATTAGGACAGACTCGATTCGGCGCAATATTGTCTAACCAATGTTATATATGTATATGTAACCAATGGACTATATGTAGCTGCTTATAGTTAGACATTTTAATGCTTGAAAATAAACCTTGATTTATCTGGTTGAATATTTATCTAGCATCTTGGGGTTCCGGTTCTGGAATTGTTGTGCCGGGTGTAGCTGCAGTTGAGATTCGGGTGGTGCTGTATTCGAGGTTTCCGGCACGAATAAGCCACTTTTCAGCTTGAAACAGATCCACATCAACTCTACCGTATTGCAGTTCCAATTCACGGATTAACGCCCATAAAGGATTGGTGTAGGCAAAATAGTAAAAAATATATACTCCCTGACGTCTAGATGTTTAGAGAAGTTAAAACCTTTCCTCTCCTATTCCATTCTGGTGCATTCCAAAAACATATATTGTCTCCCCTGATTATGACGTGACAGAAACAACCAAGGTCGAGAACGGACGACCGCAATGGTGTAAAATGAAACACATCGACTGCATTTTGCAACATCGTAATAAAATATATACCCACCACTTTCTTCTACTATCGAGAACAGTGTTTGTTTCTTTGTTACGAACCTTCTCTTTTCCAAATTAATTCATTGTGGCTACTCTGTGGTGGAGCAGTTTATTTTTTAACGTCATGTCTACATAAATTTCACCCATTTTTAGCTAGTTTTTGAGACTTTGGACCATGTTAAAATCCAAACGTCGCATGAATTTAATGTTGGTATCCATTCGAAGCTGAACCATTAATACTCCCACCAAGACATTACTGGATATTCTGCAATGTCTCTGTGTCACACGGTACCAAAATACAGTCGAGGGGTAGAACAGAATAGGGAGATTACAGAATTGTACGAAGGAGGCAAAATCAAAATCTATTTGATCAATCAAATGACTAAAACACTAAAATTATTATTGTTTTATTTTTCAAGTTTAAGTGAAATGTTGCCAGGTCCTTCAAATTCTAAATTCCTAAACTTCAGGCGAGAACACAATGGGAATCAAGAGGGAATGAAAGGCTACCAAATGATCTTACCTGTAACATGAACATGTTGATGACCATCAATATAAGTAGGAAATTGTCCCGTCAGCTCTTTATACTTTTCAATCTGTCTTCTCATTTCTAACTTCACCTGATCAAAATAACAAAATTATCAAATTTCTCTGATACAATTCAGATAAAACTCCATTCATTTCATTTTCATTTTGATACAATTCAGTGATGGAATTTCGTTTTTACCATTACGTATGCTAAAACCTGTGATTTGCTTGTAAAATATATTTGTATACGCAACAAACACAACTTACTCTGTATGTGTCTATGATCACCTACGTACTTTCTGTGTACCCCATTGCTCAAACTTATGAAATTTGTGCGATCGAAAATTATGAGCACTGTAGTATTTTTATTCGCAACTAAATGCAACTGGTGATCGCTCAGGTGAGGGCAACCTACTCTACGTGTGTCTGAGACTATAATCTGCGTGCTAGTTGTATACCTCAATCTACAAAACATATTAGTACTTATGATCTTATGCGTTTTAAATCCCCTTTACTCTGTTCAGGCCCATGTCCTGTATATATCACTATGCATCTCTGAAGCAGATCTAGGAACATTATACACTACCTCATTTCTATTTATTAGTCCTTTCTGTACACTTTCATCAAATCCGTCTTTACCAAGAAAATACCCATCTTTACCCAATAAACTAGAAACTTCATTCTTCGGTGACAGTGGGTTTCCTTCCGTGATATTCAAATGGAGCCCTTTAAAGATATTGCTCACGATTCTTAAGATTCAGGCAATTAGAATATTGCCCGATTCCAGCGTACCTAAACCTAAAAACATAATAGGCCCCCTACTGTTATGATTTTCAAAATGTGTTCGTTGTTATATTCAGTGTATTCTATGAGAATATTATATAATCCTCCAATATAATGTAATATTATTTTATCAATAAAACGTATAAAGTTCCACTAGATATTGCTGTCAATAGGGCTACGGTTGCAGATCACACTGGTGTGCATGGAATGCACCTAGACGAATCGACCTGAATATGGACAAATCGACAGGAACAATCGTCATACAATGTGCAGTGTGTAATACAGTGGCGGCACCAATGGGGGTACAGGGGTACGCTTTTGCCAAAAGCTATGTGTGGCTGGTGATTGCGACACTTTGACAGAGTGGCCGCATTTTGAATTCAGCCTCAACAGTTGTCCTCTCATTGATTCAGTCTGCTCCCTTGACCCTTGTCTAGGGATGATTTCACTGATTAACCTTGTGTTTTCTTCCAGAAAACAACAACTCTTCGTGATACTAATTATGCCTTACACTCGAACCGGCGTGAACTTCGTCCAGTGTATTTTGGGGGCGTTGTCAATTTCAACTCACCAATGAATTTCAAAGGAATACCATTTTCCTTTGCCTGGATGACAGCGTCTGCTGTGTGCACAGCATTTACCATCATAGACGTGGTTGTCACAATTCCATTTAAAAAGGCTTCCACAATTCCCTTATTTCTGTCTTTACTGTAACCAAAATCGTCAGCAGTTACGATAAGTTGTTTCATGATGTTGTGTCGTGTTAATAAACCGGGTTGAAGTTTTCTTGCATATACATTACCATACAGGTTCAAGTTTTGGACTATTCGACCAGACAAACCGACCAAGTCAATTCCAGAAGTTCTTGAAATCCTGAAACACAGAATCATTGTCCATTTTGCTTACGTTGTGTACGCTGGGTATTCGATAAATTGAGACCGATTATCGATGGCAAACTATCAATCAATAATCGATTAATAACCGAAATATTTCAATTTAGAAACTCTGTAAATGCCGTACTAAATTAAAAACTTGCCAAAATTCTTTTTTTCCATGGATTATTTTTTGCGTCATAGAAGTATAGGCCTGTTAAAGCCTATTGTGGGTGACTTTATTCAAAGGGAAGAAATTACTACTTGTTAACGGGTACAATGGAGAAAATGTAACTTTGCCATAATATTCGACTATGAAATTTGATAATCGATAATCGAAATCATAGATTCCTATAGCGACGATAATCGATTATTTCGATCATTTTACCCAGCTCTAGTCACCTCTTCAAAGTCGTTGTTTAAACCCGAGAGGTGTAGAATAGGCTGCAAAATGTTCCAGAAATATTCAAAAAGAATTACAGAAAATAATTCAATTCCTAATACTTCCCAACCCCGTCCGCGTATGCGTCACTGACCGAGATAATAGAGATAATGTCTAAATGACCAATGAAGGGTTTGGCTATTGAGAATTCACCATGTGTTAGCATCAAGAAGTCAGGCCTATCTCATTTCGGAACGTGTCTGTTAGTAGTCGTCATTCAAGATGTTGAAATTAATACTCATAACCCTGGTCGTTACTGGTATGTTGTCTTAATACTCCCTAATACGTAATGATCAGTTTTATTAATTTGCAATTTAATCTATTTTTGCTTTAAAGTTGGGTTTCCTTATTTTTTAGAGTCAAATTGAGCAAACTATTTGATTTTTTTGTGTTTCTTATGAATTATTATGTATTCTTAATCATATCAGTATGTTCTTATTGCATATAATTAAACCAATCATGGATTTTCATGTATGTACAGTATGGATAATCTAAAAAAAAAAAGACTTTTTGACCTTTCTTGATCGGTAAATCATAGGAACTCTTCTAGTAATTTTCTTCTAATTTAGCTAATTATGAATTATATATAGACTTGTGAGATAAACTGGTATTTTCCAAGTCATTAGAACACCTCTACTTTCTATTTATATAAGTATTAGCATTTTCATTTTCAAAAATGAAAATAAGGGAACCCATCTTTAAAGATTCATCCTGATTTCATTGATTTAAATTAATGAGAACTGAAGAACAAAATCTAGCGAAAAGTAACCATTGCCGTATCTGAAAGTTTAAACTCAAAGTACATTTTTTAAAAAATGAATTATATTAAGGAAGGCTCAATTATTCAGTCTTGAAGTAGAATTCTATAATTGTATGGGTACTAAGAGAGCAAATAGATTTATATTGCTGGTCAGCCATAAAAGCGTAATTACGTATTACATTCTAATCATTAAAACAACATTTTCCTTCCAGTATGTTTCAGTCAGAACGTAGACTTTAATAAGGTCTGTTCCTTCATAACTCGAGTAGATTGTTCTACATTCGCTAATAAAACCTTGTGTGCTACTGACCATATAACATACAGATCAGAGTAAGTAGACATACTAACAGGCATATAGTCAACTCAATATGATCTACACTAGCTTTTGAGACACTTTTAAGAATTGAAATCTGATTTTCAGTTGGCATACAATAGAGTAAAAAGCCGATTTAAACCAGCAAAAATAACAAATCATGGTCGTAATTATCATCCTTCAAAGCAGTTATTACATACTATGACGCTCTTGATCGAATATGTCTTTACTTAGTACTAGGTTTTGTTTTCATAAAGGAATACTGACAATGTGAATTCTGATAGATCTTATGACATATAGGTATAATGTTATTTTGATGGAGACGATTAAGTTATTTACATTGCAAGTAAACGAATTAGCAGAAAATGAACCAGGGTCATGGCATTTTGATGTTTAACAATCGGTGTGATACTTCTTGACTCCTGATAACAGTCATTGTATGAAAAATCTCGTGACTTTACAGGGCATAAAAATATCTTTTAATCGTTTTGTTATGACAGATTTTGCGAGCTTTACATAACTATTGCAAGCACATATCTTTTTCTCCAGATGTGATTTCTCTAAAGCTCACTGTGTTGACAAAGACCTCCATATGTCTCACTATGGTGAATGTAAGGACCAGACCGTCCGACCAATAGTAGGCGGTGAAACAGCATCGTATCTCTTCTTCTGTACAAATCTCCACCATTCTCATTGTGGTACTGATGTGGAAATGGTTTGTGGATCTGACGGTAACACCTACTTTAATTTGTAAGTACGGCTTTTTTTCGACAAGTCAATTTAAATATGAAAGTAAACCAACCTTCTTCCAACCTATACCAGTTACTACCCCTACTCTCAAAGATCACGGCCACTCCCTTTTTTTGACATTAAAATGAGTGAATAATAGAAATAGGTGATATAGATATAGGAAAGTTGTAAGGAAAGTTTTACGTCCTATGCTTCGTATTATTTTTTTATAATTAGATTTCTAGCAATGAAATATCCCAATGGCCATTTAAACCATTATTAATCTATTTCATTTGGAGATTCTGTTCACCTGCAATATTATAGTGTAGAAAGCTCAATAAAACCATTCATGGCCATCTTTTAATACCGATCTTCGTCAATATCTTGATATAACTGCAGCCGAATGTTTGATATATATTTGTAATTTTGTACCCCTTTCATGAAATTTCTGGTATAAGTTGATTTTATAATGAGCCCCTATTCTTAATTTATTTGATTTATTCCCTGTATTTATTGCAGGTGTTTATTTGAGAAGGCTAAGTGTTTAAATAGTACATTAACCATTGGATCATATCAAGGTTGTGTGTAGATGTCTGAATAATAATAATAATAATAACTATAATAAACATTTATTAATAGAACAAGAAAATAATTCTTCTTATTCACTTTGGAGGGAATGGGGTAAAAAGTTCTTCACTCTTTCACCTCTTTTCTTGTTGTCCTTGTCTTATAGGATTGGTGCATTATTGTCGAAAGCTTAACTTAAAATGATTTTAGTTGTTCAGATATCTGATTAGTTAATCACTAAAATCGAATGGTGTACCCCTTCTTCACAGATATAGAGGTTTTAAACCTTCGTCCAATTATCAAATCCATTATACATTTACAAATTTCGAAAGATAGAAATTCTGTAGGTGCGGAAGATCACATACAAAGCATTTTATTTCCTTTGATTTAAATTACATACATAAATTAATTAATACAAAGTGGATATATTGGATCCTGGAGATATGAATCACATAGAATCTGGCAAAAAATGGAAAACAATTAGTTTCGATAACACACCTTCGATCAGGTATTTATATATGAGGATTTTAAATTTCCTCTTTTAGTTACCAGTATTATATTTCAATTTAAAACTGGCGCAAATCGGAGTTTCGTTTCGTCTGTTTCTTTCCCTGTATTGAAAACCTCTCCATTATCTAAGTCAGCACAATGACCTATAAATACATCTCCACCCGGTAGGCAATACCATGGATCTTGTGTCTCCGTTATCCAGTTCATCAATGTATTTCGTAAATCGTTAAAGACTGGTTGATAGGAGCTGTTATAAGCAAGGTTAGTCAGTTCGTAAGGATCAGCAACAAAATCAAAAAGCTCCCATTCTGTTCTGAAATAATAATTTAATTATTTAATGAAAAATTTGCTTTAAAGATGTGGCGATCGTCGTTCAGCCAAGTAACTTCAAAGGAGATGCAGTAGTGGTGCCAGGGGTGTACTAAAAATGATTTTCACCCTAAATTGTACCCCCACTTATGTGTCAGAATCGATTCGGTTTTTCCAAAAATTTTCTTGGTTAAACCTCTCAGACGATCCTTGGGATGCTTTAGACAATACACCTCCAGAGATTCGACAATTTTAAATTCAGTCCCGACAGTTGACCTTCCAGTCTGTCCCCCATTTGTACCTCGTTCTCTGGAGACTGGCGCCGCCGCTGAAATATCTTATCCTAGCAAATCGACCTATTTCATGTGAGAGGGTCTCAGTTGATATTTGCCCATAGAAAAAACTTTATATTCATATTCTAAAATATGTTGGTTAGTCGTTTTAAAAATCACGTGATATCATGAAACAAGGTAGTGTTGACGAGAGGATGTATTTCAACATTTTGATTGCGTGATTGAATTAAATTACAATGTTAATGCACGACGCTGTTTGATCAAATACGATTTATAGAAGACCTTCAGATCATGACTGGTGAGTAAAATACATGTTATCAATATGTTAGCAATATGTATTGTATTGTAAATGTAAATGCTGATTGCAATAAATCAAAATCAAATCAATCCACAGAAAATGAAAATGAAACGTAACATGTAGATTTGCATCGTTGACAAAAATGATCAAAAGTCACTTTGTCTCGTTAGACGCCAATTGACTCCACTATCTGGCACTTTATTACCTGATACCTTTAACCCCATAAGTAACCTTAGCCAATGTAAAAACCTTAAATAAAATACCTATGATAATATTGGTCCAGTGTTTTAAACCAGTTTGTTGGCTGGCCAGATGCTGAACGGTTCAATAAATCTTGATATGTGGACGCTCCAAATAGATCAGTAGCGATACCATATGGAGCATGGTAGTTGAGATTATGTATCAATCGGTACTGTTTCGTTCTGATCACTCTCATAGGATAATACATCGTAACTTCGTGAAAATTATGACTGGAATATACAGTGGTGTAGTCATGTGTGTTAGGGTTATCTACAGCTTGCCATAATGATTTACCAGTTAGTCTCACTCTACCAGAACTATTGTGGTAATTGATATCAAACCAGTCTAAAACCGTCGGGGTTATGTCCATGTTACTAGCTAAGGCTTCTGTTTGCTGACAATATAAGAGTAATATATATCAAAACCTTGAATGACGAAACGAGTTTTTTTTTTACGCAAAGGTTCATCAATTTACATTGTCGTCATCTGGTAAAGTGGAATAAAATATCTAATTGTCTGAGTATTGTCCAATCAAAATTGGCCCTGTTGTATTGGGATTAACATTTCAGCCAATCAAAACTCGTTGTGACGCCTTGTTCAGGAAGTAATTACTTTGGATTATTTACTTGGAAGGATTGTGTTCTTCTATTATATCGACATCAGACCAAACTTTCGTTCCGTTTTTATTAGCTTTTATTCTTAATGTAGCCAGTTATGGCATAACGACGGACCTCTTGAACATTCATCCGTTTGTGTCTGTTTCCTTACCATGCAATCGAGCGTTTCAGCAAGAAAAAATGTTATAACTGTCAATGCATTGTCAGTCACTCGTGAGTCACTACAAGAAACAATGTTATACCTGTCCCCAGCTTTGTTTATGTAGAGGTGAAGAGACCATGAAGGGTTCCATCATGCCTGATTCATACAAGTTAGTTTTAGCATTAGGAAACGGTATACCATTATCAGAGGAGTACAATATCATAGTATTGTCCATAAATCCAGCATTGGATAATTCTTTCATAAACAAACCTATTCCTGAAATATATCCAAAATGATTATCAGTAATACGATACGATACGATACGATACGATCCAATACGATACGATAAGTTAAACACATCACATCACAACACAACACGAGATCAGAACTATCCTGTCTTGTTGATAATTGCAGAACTGATTAAATCGGAAGTTTGGCATATCGGCCATAATTAGAATCATGTCCTTTCCTATTTAGTCACCATGATGATGGTAAACAGTGTCTTTTGCCTGACCTTAACCCCGTGAAATTGGAATAACTCAGTCATTAGCGCGTTGGATTGTCGTCTGCTATATAGTAGATTAGCCATTAGGTGCCGTGGTTTCCAATCCTCCTCACGATAAGAAAAATTCTGATGACTGTGCCTGTGCTTTCGAAAGTCGGCTTCTTGAAGGGGTCAACAACTTTTTAACTGCATGTGTAAACGTCAATACTCCCCTCTAACTCTGGGTTGGAACACTGTCTATTTGTGAAAGTGGAATGGCTCATTAAGTCATTAGATTGTCTGCTAGGCGATAAGGTACCGTGGGATCGAATCCTCCTCACGGTAAGAACAATTCTGATGCCTGCATCTGTGCTTTCGAGCGTCGGCCCTTTGTTGGCTTTCGTCCCCTAATACCTAACTAAGGGAAATATAGTACTAGGGCTACTTTTTTCCATCTTTTACACTATAAATAACGAAATGAGAAAGTGGCCTGTCAAGGCAACTATTACTTCCGCTGAAGATTCGACGGCACAATTTCTGAACAATCTTAAAGCGACATTTAGAGGTAGATATCAAATTAAATAGATAGAGTATTATTTTTCACAACGTTTAAACAATTTACATCGTCATCATTAGGTGAAATTAAACACGACGAAGAATATTGAGAGGTGGGGTGCAAGTAATTATTATTTTTGCAATTCGCAGCTGCCCATGACCTTCAACCCAGCTCATATCCAAATGAGTAACTAGCCAACGATAATCCCCACGGAATTTCTTTCATACTTACCCTGGTCCATGCGACTTAAAGTCTTGTACATATTAGCTAAATCTTGTCTGGCGGTGGCAGTATTTGGTATGAAATATGGTACCTCTAAGCTAGCCGGATCATAATAAGTAGGGTTCCAGTCTGGTATTACACCGTTACCGGGTCGACCATCACCAAAATTTTCACAAAACTCCCCGAGCTTGTTCTGTCCCACCACACCACATCGATGGGGGTCGAAAAATCCAATGTACAAAAGAAATGGTCTAGAATATTGAAAATGGTTTTTCTTATTCTTTTAGTGTCAAATTAAGCAAACTATGTCTATAACTGGTGTTTTTAATGGATTATCATGTATTCTTAATCATATAATTATTTTCTTATTGCATATAATAAGGAGTTTTAACCAATCATAAATGTCCGTGAATTTATAGTCTGGATAAACAAAAAAAGGATTTTTTGACCTTTCTTGATCGGTCAATTATTGGAATTCTGCTGGAAATTCTCTTCTTATTTAGCTAATTATGAATTAATTATGGACATGCGAGAAAAACTGGTATTTTTTCAAGTCATTAGAACACTTCTACGTTATATTGATATAAGTATTAGCATTTTCATTTCCATAAAATAAATAAGGGAACCCATCTTTAAGACAGATATGAAATGAATCAATAAGGTCTTACCAATTTTTGTTTTGGCATAAAAAAGTATTAATTTGTATCAAAGTTGTATACTTATGCAATGACTAACATACTTTTTTTTTCAGATCAGTATATATCTACAGTAGCTTCCATCTTCTCATTGTTAAGCTTTAACCGTCAAATACCTTGACTTCAATTTGCACCTTTACTGTATCACAAACGTTTGTAAATGTATAGCGTTTGATTGTAATGTACGACCCCCCTCCCTCCCTCCCTCGCAGTTCGTAATAGCTCGATATTGTGAAGATAGGTGACTCGATGTTTTGTTTATTGATGAACATCACAGCACATACAGACCTTGTATCGTTATTAGAGAGAAATTCTTGAATCTTTAGTTTCATAAATGTTATGTTTCTACCAACTTGATTCAGGCTATTATTTTCTTCTGTTTGTTCATAATCAAATTTATATACGTAGTCTGGTCCCACGTGCTTCTTACCCACAATACCTAAGGAAGTAATATTATATTCATACAGTCCTGGGTTTTTATCATCAATGCAAAGCAATATTTTATTAATTTCAACATAAACCCAAACTAGTAAATATGAAATTTTTCCGGAATTCAAACATGATGAGAGGTCCATGATCTGTAAAGAGGTTTTTCAGTGAGATATTCGCGCCTGTTGCAATTCCACTAAACGTTTTATGACTTAGCTGTCGCCAAGAACTTAGACATTATAAGCATCTTTTTCGATAGTAAAGTCATAAAACGCTTTGATTGAGTGGAAATGCAAGTACCACAAACGTCTGACTGAAAATTGGAATGTTGAAAATCAATGCTATCATTGTCTGCAATTCATATAAAAAATCTGGATCATCTCTTTACTTTTACTTGTTGAATGATATCAATTCCTTGCTTGCATATACCGGATTAACTTAGATCCATTTTCCACAGTCGCCTTGTCAAAATGACTAATTCTTACCTGTCCTGATCCCATGGTCTCCCAGAATTACTGGTAAACTCCGGATATCATCAAAGGAGTTAAAGTGATGTGGATTATGGTGCAGGCCATACATTCCATTTTGGTGTTGTGGTATACCCGTCAATATCACCGACCTAAACAATGTAAAAGGAGACCCACACTTATTTTAATGAAGGTTAATGATGAATAACAATTTTCTGCAGTGTGTATCATATTACTTACTCATTTTCACTTTCCAACTGCTAAGTGTTGAATTACTTATCATTGAGTTCTTAAAATATTTGTGCTTTGAGCCTCCCTTAACAACTAGTTCTGACAGATCATTAACAGGCAACAAATTGCTTAAAAGAGGGTCTCTGCTTGAATGCATGTGTTTAAAACACATTTCCCGGTGGAGGAGGCCCAACCCAATGCACTCCACGAGCCTCCACTCATCTATTTTTGCAACTGTATCCCACAAGTCTCCAGTGTTCGCAAGACACTGGTAATACATGACACGTTTGATTGGTTAACAATATAGTGTCATGTCTTTCGTTATATTCTTAACGGAATTAATTCATATGGCGTTCATTAATTTAAGTATTCTTACCTACTCGGTGAACAGCTACTAACGGAAGTAAAACCATGTTTAAAAACCAGGCTTTTTGCAGCTAGCTGATCAAAATTAGGTGACTTTATATCTCGATTTCCATAAGCTGACATCTGAAGTCCGGCATCGTCACCTATCCGATGTAATTAAAAAGCAAATAGAAATCCATGTAAAGGAAAAGCGAGTAAGATGAAGGACAAACGAATAAGGTGAAGGACAAACGAATAAGGATAAGGAAAAAGGTGAAGGACGTGTCAGTACGATGATGGTCAAGTCAATTAGTTGGAGAACAAGTCAGTAAGGTACGTCACGAAGGGGACGGAAACATTAGTAAGGGAAATACAAATCGACAAATTGATAAGGTGGAGGACAAATCGGTAAAGTGAAGGACAAATTAGTAATGTAAAGGACAAGTCAGTAAGATTAAGGGCCCATCAGTAAATTGGAGAACAAATCAGTAAGGCGAGGACAAAATCTGTAAGCTGAACAACGAATCAATGAGTGAACGACAAATCAGTAAGATGAAGAACAAATCAAGTTGAGGAAAGCATCAGTGGAGTGAAAGGCAAATCAGTGAGGTGAAGGGCAAGTCAGTGAGGTGAAGGACAACATTATTAAGGTGAAAGACAAATCAGCAAATTGAAGGACAAGTCAGTGAGGTGAAGGACAAAATTATTAAGGTGAAAGACAAATCAGCAAGATGAAGGGCAAGTCAGTGAGGTGAAGGGCAAGTCAGTGAGGTGAAGAACAAAATTATTAAGGTGAAAAACAAATCAGCAAGATGAAGGGCAAATCAGTGAGGTGAAGGGCAAGTCAGTGAGGTGAAGGACAACATTATTAAGGTGAAAGACAAATCAGCAAATTGAAGGACAAGTCAGTGAGGTGAAGAACAAAATTATTAAGGTGAAAAACAAATCAGCAAGATGAAGGGCAAGTCAGTGAGGTGAAAGACAAAATTATTAAGGTGAAAAACAAATCAGCAAGATGAAGGACAAGTCCGTAAGGTGAACGACAAAATTATTAAGGTGAAAAACAAATCAGCAAGATGAAGGACAAATCGGTAAGGTGAATGACAAATTGGTACATTGAAGAACAAATCAGTAAGGTAAAGTACAAAAGGTAAAGGTCATTCCGGTATGATGAAGGACAAATGAGTATGGTGAAAAAAGTAAGGATAGAGACGGTTTTAAGGTTAAAGAAAACCAGTAAGTTGAAGAAAAATTAGTAAGATGAAGGGCATATCTGTAAGGTGGAGGACAAATCGATAAGATAAACACAAATAAGAACTTTTCAATTATTTAATGCATCATACCTATTATTACCAGGGCGTTCGTTCTTCCCGGGTCAAATTTAGATTTGGCTTCATAACCAATTATAACAATCCAAAAACAAATGAAAAATAGCACCCTTTCCACCGAAGAAGACTTCATAACAAGAAATTTGACTGTATGTTTAATATTAAATTAGGAAACACGACACGAGCTTAGTATGTCATCACTTATCAAACCTCGATAACATTATGATAACTTAAGATAATTTAATGACGTATTTAAACTGAAATCTAATATGTAACCTAATTTATAGCGCTTATTTAGACGGTCTACCCTGAAAGTTCCTCTGGCGTTTTACAACATATCATGAACGGCATCAGTTGTTTGCCGGAACTATGTCTATATTGTCACGTGATTCTGGTATTTCAAACATCCGAGGCTGGTCGTTCTGAACTACAAGTGTTTGGAAACAAAAACAAAGAAAACAAAACATTCGTAAGACTTCAAACTGATAATATAATGCATAAGTGGCCAACCGATAGTTAAAATACAGCTTTTAATGCATAAGTTAGTATCAGTATGATCTTCCTTTGGCTCTTAGATGTACGGTGGCTCACATACGACATCTTTCACTTTTTTATTATGATTTAAAAACGTTACTTTTCACCCAGATGATAATTATTTTCACCTAGGTCATAATTATTTCCACCTAAGTGAAAATTAGGTGATAAATCCTGTAATTTTGAATTAAAAACTTGAATTTCCTGCTAGGTGATAATTCAATGAATCTTGAAAGGAAAGTGTAAAAGTACAGGGGTACGCATCTTTACAGTGGTTAAGGTATAACGAACTGCGTCTTTTACCTTAACAACAATAACCACCGTTCTCGTATTACGGAATTCAGCGATTTTATGGATTGTACGCCAGTGAATACGGCCCTTGACGTAGGCATTGTGGCTTATTAATTACTACAGTCCTTATCGAGGGCTCTGATTGGCTGTATTCACTGGCGTAGAATCTAATAAATAACCGTATTTACAGACTTCCTTATACAAGAAGACGAAGTTCATTGACCATTGTGAATATGAAGGGAACAGGCACACGGAGATTACCACGTGTACTTCGTAATTTATTACTTACACGTGTATATAAACTTTACTTTGTGATGTGAAAACCTATTAAGATAATGTTTTGCTTTTAAAGAAGTCATTAAGTTCAATATATATTCATGAAGCAAGGTTGCAGCCCTAATCTCAACATCTCAAAACGAGGGGAATGTCCTCTTATTGTATTGTATAGTCATTTTCTCTGCTATCGATTGACGTTCTGTCCTTGCATTTCTCACATAACAGATGTTCTGACACATTTAAAATAAAAATTACATATGGAGATAAAATTCGTCCTGGCAGAAATGACATATGTCAACATAATAAACCATAGTACTTGATAACGCCTGTCAAATCGTTGTTTTTTTTTCTCTACAAAGCCACAACATATTACAGAATACTGTTTATAAGATATTTAGAAATATGAATAAAAAAAGAATTCAAGATATATGGATATACTATTTCTAACACTTATTAACTCTATACCATACAAATATAACGCAAACAAGACATTTGCATCCGTATTTTATTATCGCGCACTCTGCATAAACTGTAATAGAGACAGTAGATTTTGCAAGACGTTAAATATACATTTGTGGTTAATCACCTATATTCAGTCGCATTTTGCAATTTTTGAAATTTTTTCCGAATTATTTTGTTTTTCGTCTGATTTGATCTAAATGGTACAGTCAATTCGTTTTTATCACTTCCGGTTTACACGGGAAATAGATTTTCACTTCCGTTTGACTCATTTTCGGTGTACTTGAAAGATGTCAACAAAATGCATGCTGATCGGTAGCCAAATATATGACTAAATAACGCCCGGACCAGACGAGATTCGGCCACCATTTTCAGTTTGCTAGAATTTGTCATATTTCATTGAGAGAAACCGGCTTGCCCGATTTTAATAATTTTTGGTGTCAATTGAAAGAGCAAAAAATTAATGAAAAATAAACGATTTCGCTTTTGCGTTTTTACAATTTGCAAGTTTTAAAGCACATATTCATTACATTGACCTTTGATAACCTCGGCTATCAGGTGATATTTTGATATTTAAAGTCAGACACATAGAAATTTGCAACTTTGGACGTGACTTAATTCACTTAAAGGGCTATTTTGTCAGATTCTTAAGGTGCTTTTAGTGTTATTTCTTACGATGCATAAAAAAAGATTTTTAATTTTAAAATTTGATTTTGTGATACCTGGATTTTTTTCGTTATTTTAGTACTTTTTGAATAAATTACCATTTATTACAATTAGAAGCTTCAAATCTTGAACATAACTAGACATTGTTGGCAAACGTCCAATCAAGGGGGCAGTTTCGGTAACACCCTCCCCTCACAGAAAACTTTGTGAATTGTAACGCATTACAGTGGAACTCTCTATAGAGTTATTGCTATCTTTATTGCTGCCGAGGACGCCCATTGGAAGCCTGGAAACACGATTTTCTGAATTCTGGGGACCTCCTTTAGAAAATTTTAGAGAATTTGAATCCCTGAAACGAGATTTCCTGACATTTCCTGGCGAATTCAAGGTTTATTTGTATAGGGACTGTGGGACCACCACAAGAAAATTTGGGGAATTAGACGCTTGGAAACGCAAATTCCTGACATTTCCCAGCGAATTTAAGGTTCAAGAATATTTGTATTGGGTCTGAGGGATCTCGCCTAGAACATTTGAGAATTAGACGCCCGAAATACTTGATTTATTTACCATTTACTAGATTCCCGATTTTAAATGCACCGGGGTTGAAAATTAACAGGCTAGAAGTTCCAAAATATCCAAATACCATAGGATAAGGTCTCGCGCCACGTTCAGGTTGTTTACAGTTCTAGTTTATACTGAAAATGTACAAATTAAGTTTTTAAAGTATATCCTTAATCTACCTAATTACGCATGCTCATCAGCAGTCTTGGGCGAAAGTGGCCGATATCCAATGCATACTATTTATTTTGTGAAATCTATTAAATACTGGTTAAAATTGTTAACATCGGATGATGCAAGGCTGCCTAAACAAGTATATAAAATGCTGTACAACCTTGGTAGAAGTAACTGATCATCACGGATAAGATATCTATTGTTCCGATACGGATTTAGGTATGCCTGGATCTCACAAACTGTGATTTTAAACAATTTATATATTTGTTCAAACAGAGAATACAGGATACGAGCATCCAAGAATGGCATGAAAACATCCACAGTAATAGTAAATGGCAAAATTATTCACAATATAAAATTAATTTAGAGCCTGAATCGTATTTGACAAATATATTCTTGTATTATAAATATAAAACCATATTATGTAAATTTAGAACAGGATGTCATAACCTAATGGTATGAAAGGGTAAATGGAAAAACGCTCCATACAATGAAAGGGTATGCAAGCTGTGCAATGTGAATAGCGTTGAAGATGAGTTCCATTTTGTAGTCAAATGTCCTGTTTATAATCATGTACAATAACTATATATTAGCCAATATATCAATATCCCTTGTCACCAAACTCTTATAAACCTAATGTCCACCAAACGTCAGAAAATTATACTCAATGTTTCAAAATATATTTATATTGCGATGAACCACAGAAGTGAACCTTTAGAACGACAAAATACATTCATTGAAATAAAATATAAATGTATATTTGAATAGATTATCTTATCTGTATGTATATCGTTTGTATTCTATATCTATCTATCTTCATTTATTTAATATATTTTCTTATTTATTGATTTAATATGTTTATTAATTCATTTATTTAAAAATTTATTTATTTACTTATCAAATGATTCATCGATCTCAACTAATAATATTCCTTATATATATAAAACTAAATTATGTTATAATCAATCATAGTCGATAATGACTTGAAATAATGTGCTACCTATACATAGTAACATTCTATATCTTTGCTGTCTTCTGTTTGTTTGTTTTTGTTCTTTCCTTAAATGTTATCATATAGTTTGTAAAAATTGTACTGTGGGCAATTTGCCTTGAATACATGAAATATATATAATGCACCTGCTCTGTCCGTGAGCACTTAAGAATCAATAGCATAAAGTCATTGCACTGGTTCCACTCGTGCAAATTTGACATGTAGAAGATTCCTATCAACACAGTATGTATAACTTTTATTGATCATTTTATTAATATTTGACATTACGATCAACGACCGTTCTCATTAGCTCATTTAAGTACAAGAATATGACTTAACACTCCATATAATATTTTGTCTTTAACGATGTAAAGCATTGGATAAAATGCATGATGACCCAACAATAATTTATTTGATTATTTATTCCCTACGTCCTCTGAGATGGGACAGTGGTTCACTTTATTCAAAACACCTACCTATTTCTTGCAAGAGGGGTGCTTGTACAAATGTTCATAATTACAAAACAAAAACGGAAAAAGGGTTTCCAGAAAGCGTGTTGATTGGCCGATTTACATATCACGTAAATCATCAATGAAATGTTGGTCAAGTTTACGTCTGTAGACAGAAAGGAAAATAACAATTTAGCTTAAATTTTTGGAACGAAATGGCCGTTTGAAATAGTCGTCATTAATGTCGTTGATATACAATATAATGAAGTAACGTCGTACAAGAAAATTTAAAAGAAAGCACCATGGCTGGCATTAATTCATCAACAGCATGTTTGAAATCTAGACATTCAACACAATTCGCTCGATTGTTGCGAGGAATATAGCTGTTTCAGCCGTAGAGCTCATTATCAGTGCTAATTCAAGAATCAAAGTGCTGATGACTGACAACATAAATCAGCATATCCAGACATGGCAAATACAGTCAAGGACATGCGAGTAGGCCGTGGGCCACGTAACCAACCATCAATTAATCATGGAATTAACTACGAGAAACGTGCAATTTTTTAAAGTCATTTATTCAATAACATATTTCAATGTGCATTGCAAATAACAGACATATTTGATTAAAATCACTTTTTCACATGAGATCAGACATCGTTAACGATTTGATTGGTTAAATTGATTTTGACGTCATACTTTGATATAAGAGCGCGGATATAACAGGTTTCGATATCAGAATTGGCAACTACAATCTGCGGCCGACACCACAGTAGTGGTTTCCATGGGAAAAAATGCATCCAATCTAATACCCCCCAAAAAGACCTAAACACCCTACATCAATTCCCACCCCAAAAAAGACCTATTCACCCTACATTTCATCATTAAATTAACTCATTTAAAAATAGTATGAGTTTAATTTTAAAACACAAACAACACATATGAATTTGTTTAATCTGTTAAAATTAACTAAAATTGAATCTATAGTTGTTTGGGAAAAACAGACCACATTTTCTACTCAGATTATTCAGGAGACAGTATCTTTTAATCAATATTTTCTCTAGGTTAAAAACTAGTTCCAAAAGTAGCTAGCTTTGTTTCAAGCAACAAATCACTCATTTCCACCGAAGCTAAAGATATCGGTTCTGTCGCGGAAGCGGGAAAGAGTATAAGCGACGCAGTGAAAAAGTCTGACGAGAGAAATGCGAAACAGGAGATTAGAAGAAAGGTGAGGAAAGGCTCAAAAAACTTATTTTGGTTCAGATATATACAATAATCATTGGGCTCTCTTCCTGGTTTTCCATGGGCAAAATATCTTGGAGAAAAACATCTTCCCGGTCATAATTACACTGGTCCAGGTACCAGGCTAGATCTGCGATTAGACGAAATATGATAAACCTAAACAAGGTGAAGAACCAGTCACTTAAAAAGAGAGAATGCAAAGGGCTCTAATCATAAAACTGTTAAAAGCAAAGATGAGATTGGGTATGAGATCAGCAGATTTTTAAAAGTTTAAGTATTTGAGAAAGATGAAATATGGACAGCTGATTTAATTAATATGCCAGTCGAAAGAGGATATAAATATTGCTAGTTATAAATCTATATACAAGGTATACTTGGGTTTTTCCTTTGAAAAACAAAACAGGATTATCAGTCAAACATGCTTTTGAAACGATTATGAAACATAGAAAACTAAAAACTGTGGGTAGATAAAGGAAGCGAATTTTATAATAAAGATATGAAATCACTTGGGTTTGAAATTTACAGTAATCATAACGAGGGAAAAGCTGTAGTGATAGAAAGATTTAACAGGACGCTTAAATCAAAACCGTTTAAAAAATTCACAAAACTAAAGTCTCAAAATGATTAAAGATTTTACCCACTGCAGTATCGGTATATAATAATAAAATTCATTCTTCCATCGGTGTTTCTCCAATGGTAGCTAGTCAAAATCCAGATATTAAAAAGTTTTCTTCTATCCTTAATAATTTTGAAAATGAAATAAATAATTTAAGTATTAAACCCAAATTTAAAGTTGGAGATAGCGTTCGTATTTTCAAATATAAAAGTAAATTCGAAAAAGGTTATGTTGGATACTGGACAAACGAAATATTCATCGTTGATAAAGTAAACACCACATCACCTCCGACATATAAATTAATCGAACAAGACAAAGAACAAATCATAGGAAGGTTTTATCAAAACGAACTTCAAAAAACCGACTTTTAAAAAATCTTTCTCGATAAATATGGAACTGATACAACCACAAACTTCCAACTTATGAGATGGGCGAATGAGTTAAATATATCACCGTTTTATTATTGTATGAGAGATGAAATAAATGATCTCAAATATAAGAAAGGTAAATTTTATGCTATAACAAATATACATACTTCCGATCAAAAAGTTCATCATTCTGCATTGTACAAAGACTCTTCAAATGACTTATATTTTTTGATTCTTTTTGGATTAGAGCCAACTGAAGAGATAATGAAATAAACTAATAATCCAATCAAATGTTCAAATTCAAATTCAAATACCAGGACAAAAGTTTTGTGGGCAGCTTTCACTTTGGGTTTTATATCAGTTGAGTTTAGGAAAACAGTTGGAAGAATTAACTTAATAAAATGGCGAACATGTTTGCATAAGGTTCTTTATTTTTAGACACTAAAAAACCTAACACTACAGCGTGGATAAATAAAGCGAAACCTTACTTTGTGGATCAAATCGGAGACATTCTTCAAGGTGATTTACATATGAACAATTTCAAAGTAACTAATTTAAAATCTCCAGAAAATGATAATGACGCTGTTCACAAGAAATATTTACGGGATCAAATAAATTCAATTGAAGTAAATAAAAACCATTTAGAAGATAAAATGAGTAATGTTAAAAGATTCTTCAAACGTCAACTAAATAATAAGTATTTTATTAATGATAATGATAAACTACAGCAAGAGGTAGCAGGTTTAATAAGTTTTATTCAAAAACAATTGGTCAGCGTAGTGAATAAAACTCAGTTACAAAATTTAATTTCATTAATATCTAAATTAGAGGATAAGATTGCAAAACAAAAATTAGACATTCAACAATTAATAGATAACATTCCAGATGAAAATGAAGATGCGTTTCAACAGGAATTAAATGCTCTGGAAACTAAACTTAACGGTGAATTACAAAAATAACAACAAATATTAAACAACAAATACAAAACATTGATGATAGCGAAATTAAAACCTATATTCAACAACAAATACAAAATATTGATGATAGCGAAATTAAAACTTATATTCAACAACAAATACAAAATATTGATGATAGTGTTATTCATAAGTATTATCTTCCATTTAGAAATAATTTGAGTAAAAAAGATGTTTCTGTTACTACTAATATTGATAGATCAAGGGAGTATGAATATAAAAAATATGGATTTACAGCAAATATAAGAATATTTTCTGTTACAGATTATAGTATCCCCCAAAACATGTTTGATGGTAATCACCTATCAGATTTTATTTTCAAAGGAAAAATTCTAATTGAAATTATTTTTCCTATTCAGGTAAAAGTTGATTCAATATTCTTCACACAAAACTCAGATTCATCTATTAGTCAATTTCACGCTCGTAAAGCTCTTCAGTTTATCAATGATATAGAAAATGTAGAAACTAAAATTTGAAATCAACGACGAAAACAACAAGAGTGATCACTTGTATGATATTAAAACGAGTGGAAAATATATAGATAGGTTTAGAATGTTAATCATACCAGATAATGAGAATTTTCTTGTTTTGAGTGATTCTGATATGATATTGCAGACTGAAAATCCACCATCAATGAATATTATCAGAAATCCAGAACCACAAAAGAAGGAACAACAAAGAGTTATGATTTTTTACGATCATCAGACTTTGAATATGTAAAACTATATTTTGTTGAAAATGATATATTTACCTCAATTGATATTCATAAAAGTCAACAAAAATATAAATCTTTGATACCAGCAATAAGAGATGATGAGGTATATGTTAATTTATCAATCTCTATTGAAAAACCAAAATTTTCAGTTCATCTAAACAAGATTAATGATTCGAAAGAACAAATATCGTTAGTAACTGTAAAAGTTTTAATTGAAGATACTAAATAAGTACCAGCTTTTGGTGTATCAGAAGTTCGCTTAATTTAATTACCTAAAAATGGAAATGTTCGAAAGCAGTAGACAACGATACATGATAGAAAAACAAAATGCAGAAAAACATGGAGTAGAATTGATTCTGTTTTCAAAACATTAAGCACAATTCTAACAGTAGGAGTAACAGTGGCAACAGCTGTCACTGGTGGATTAATGCTTCCAATAATTGTCCCAACTGTATTAGCCGCGTTCACTGCCTTTCAAACTTCATCTTGTGGGTTGATTACTTTAGGTTTTACATCAAAACAGAAACCTCATTATAAAAAGAAAACAGAAATTTTAAATACATATCTTAATAAACTATTTACATTTTTCGAAAGATTGAGAGAAGATAAGAACATAACCATTGACGAATTAGAAGAATTCCATGAAATTTTAGATAAATTTGATTTAGAAATATCATCAATAAAAGTGAAAAATTCCTAGTTAGAAAATAGATATTTAAAAATATGAATATAATTGAAATTTTAGACGATGAAACATTCATATAAAATGTGCTTTTTTCCAATGTTATTAAGGCTGATCGTGATAAATTTTCAACATTTAAAGGACAAATTGAATTAAATGGAGAGATAATCCAAGATGGAGAACACAAACAAAACATTTATAGGCATTAATGTCACTACTTCGCAATTTCTTCGCAACAGTGGATGTAAAATCGGATGCTTCTGATTTGTAATTCACAGGAAATATCATTTTACATAAAAACAATTTCAAAGAAATTAAAAGATCAAAAAGGGAAGTGGTACCACCTTACTCAAAAAGATAAATGAATATGCTGGTATAAATTGTTACATACCAAGCGATGGGCACTGCTTTATGAACTACGTAAATCGTGTTTTGAACAAAGACTACACAAAAGAATTTCAGAATCAAACAGAAAAGGAGTTATGACAACTGCTAGAATCAGTGAATTCAATCAGTGAAGAAATTTAATACTTATTTTCAAATTTATATGCCCCAAAATAGACATTTTCAACCAAAGAAAGTATCCGAGGAATTAGATTTGGTATGTTACATACATAAATCACATTTCTGTCTCATAAGAAGAAATAACAAAACCTTAGGCATTAAAGAAATAGAAGATAATGACAATGAAAATGTATCGAGAACTTGTAAAGATGATAAGGCAGTAACACAAGTTTCACCTCTAAAACTAAATATTTTTCCAACAATTCACGATGATTGTCTATACGCATGGGATTGGGAAACTTACAGCGAAAAAGAAACGAATAAAGCCATTCCTTATTCTTGCACGTTAATTAATTTAGAAAAACTAAGAAGAATGTTAGACGGAATAAAACATAACTTTCCAGATTTAAATCCCACTGATAATGTTCCAGAAGAATTTTACAATAAATTAATGAATATAGTAGAAATATTTGTGGGTAAAGATTGCATTGAACAAATGTTGCAACGTTTAGGAAAAGTAGATCAAAAAAGATTAACATTAATTTCTCATGACGGTTTGATAAGTGGATCTTGCTTAAAATTGCAAAAACACTAACACAATGTCCACAGCTAGAGGCATTCTATCTCTACCTTTAACTAATTCATTCACCGATGAATATTTACAAAAAACAAATAATTGGCAACTGTAATTATCTGCAAAATATTAATTTCATATGTTCCTATCAACATGAAAAATCTAGTTTGGCGGCATGGGAAATTCGTCTAATCTACCTATGAATTTGAGAAAGATCACTGATATCAATATTGCAAAATACACCGAAGATTATTGGGAATATTTACGACACGAATGGGAACCTTATGCTAAAAGAGATACGTTATGTCTTGGAGCTTGTTTGTTAAAATATAACAAAGTTATGAAATAAGTTGTATTCCAGAATATTTCCAATAATCTAACGGCTCCTTCTTTATCTTTAGAGGGTTGGTATTATTTGTATCATTACCACAAAGAAATGGTTGAAGAAGAATGGTATGAAAGCATGAGACTTGTTCCCAAACACACTGAAAAAGAAAATATAGAAAAAGTTTATTCACACACTCATCCTTTTAAAAGATATTTTATCAGACAATCAATTAAAAATCTTTTGAAACGAATAAAATGGATGAAATTTGTAATGTATTAAAGGAACACACAGAACTCGAGAGTAGTAATATACCATATAAAGATTATATTTTAATTTTGTGAGATCTTAGAAATAAATATAAACGAGAAGGTAATATTGTGGGGAGTAATTGCATGAAAGTATTAGGTAATTCCTTGTTTGGTAAATCTATTCAGAAGGATATAACTACATCGAGACATTTATGGAGTGAAGCAACTTTAAAAGCCAACTTCGATTCACATGTCAAAAGTTATCCTAAAGTAAATGAGACTCTATATATCGTTGAGATAAATGAAGAAGAAAAAGAATTTGACTGTATACCTCCTAAATCTACACGACTAACACCTAGTCATCTGGGTTCATTCGTATTATCTCACAGTAAAAAAATAATGAATAATTTTATTCACGTAATAGATGGATTTTATAAGCCAGAAATATACTATACGGATACTGATAGTTTATACATTTCACCTAGCAATTGGGATAAATTAGATGAAGCAGGGCTGGTATCTGAAAATGATTATTGTAAAGGAAAGAATGATTACGGTGATGGTGGAATTATATATGGTTTATATTTAGCGCCGAAAGTCAAATACAATATCATTCTAACTTCCGGCGGTATTCTAAAAGAAAAGACGACGTGTAAGGGTTACATGATGTGATGAATGAATTCAACAAAAGATGGGAAAAGAGTTTCACCAATGGAATAGTTATTCCAAAGGATGATGATAAACAAAAGAAAGTTTTTACAAGTTAAATAAATCTCGTTAAGAGAAAGGCACCCGACAGCGAAGGAATCATGTATCCTTATAGTGATAAAGATGACTTGAGTTTGGATGAAAACCACGAATTTGATGATTTCGATTACCTTACTATTCATGAAGAATGAAGATTTAGTTCTTTTGCTTTAAATGCAGTTGAATTACAATTTCTTCGTTACCAAAATCTATAAACCTATTTTTACCATCTTTGATTTCCAGATTTATATCTTTAATCATAAAGGAATTAAGTGGTAAATACGTTGTTTGAAATGGTTTCTCTATAATTCTATATCCAATCGGTACAGTGAATGTTGGAATGCTGCAGAAAATCTGACGTTTGTATTTGTTGAAAAATCCGCCGTTTATCAAATTACAGTGAATATTAATGACACCGATATCATTCTCGATGTTAGCTTTGTGTGGTGCTAATGTTGATTCCTTACATATTTTTTTTATCAAAGCCTTTTCAAAGTATTTTCTGAATAAATTTCTACATTGAAATCAACTTGACTCTTATTTCTCAATATCAATTTCATTTTGTTTAGATTCAAATTACCTTCGAATTCAATATTGTTTTTACCATTTACACTTCCTCCATATTCAGATAGGTAATCGTTAATGGCTACGTATTCATAGCTTCCCGGTAGTAAACTTATGGTTTTGAATGTAACTCCATTATCTGTTGATATTTTTAGTTCATACTCATAATCTACAGACAATTTAATGTCTGATTTATTTGAGGTTGTTCTTTATTTGACATTTTCATTGACGCTGTTATAATCATTTTTATCTATAATACCTTTCTCGAGGAGTCTTTTTAATATGCAATTTACTTCATTATATTGTATGTGTGATCGATGGCCTTCCTTCATTGCCACTAATATTATTTGTTATCTATTAAGTAGTTCTTCGTTGTTGTCGGAAAAAATCGTTATACCTTGTCCAGATACCATATCTTTCGACGTGTGCCTGAGGACGACGGGGGAAACACGTCGAAACATTGCATAAAACTTTAACCAGTGATTGTTGTTCCATAAAGCTGTGTCTATATATCGTACTCACAATTGCTGCCATTCAAAGACTTTATTCATATTCATTATCTCGATCAGTAGGTCTTATATATAGATAACTTCTTTCGATCTGCTTGTCGGGTCATGACTTTCTGATTGCATGTATAAATTTTGAGTGCTACTAAATCCTTGCGATCGGCAATGCCAACATCCCCACCATTCATTAACTATTGATCCTTATGTTAATGTAAATATAAAGTCTTTTGTATCGATTTTGAATTGTGGTGAATTTGCACTAAATCTTTTTCTAAATCCATTAATCAATAACCCCACTTCATCAACAATTGGTGTAATTCTCTTTGGTAAATCTGGGTTAGAGTGTGCAAAAGAACATTTATATCATCGAATGTCCTAATTATAATACCACTATATTCAATCGGTTCGGGGTGATCTATATGGGGTGTAAGTTCTATACAAGGCGTGGGTCTATATTCTAAAGCTAATACCTTTTTAATATCTTCTTGAGTTTTTAATATTGGTTGAAATAGAGTTTGTGGATTTTCTGTTAATCCAAGTTGTTGTAATTTGTTATTGTCAACTTGGGTCTTTATTTTATTCTTAGCTTTGATATATTCTCTATTACTTTTTAAAACATTATTCCAAACGCTATTCATTTTTAAAAAAATAAAATTAACATATGCCGATCATAACTCTTTCACCCGCAGGCTTCCTAGTATTAACAAATACATATCCATGATCATCTGGGTTTCTCCATTTTGTTTTACAAACCTTTTTAAATGTATCTCTATCCATTCCGTGATTTATCGACTGAATAATTTGAGATAAATCTTTATCGTTTAATTCAAATATTAAAAAACAATTTGCGTTTTTTCTAGTGAACATTGCATCCATTCCGTAGATAGATTGGGATTGGTATATGCAGTGACAGTTGTGATGTCTTCCTTTCGTGAAGAATTCTTGTTCTTGTTGAACAGTTTGAGTTCGTTGTGCTACGCAGTCGCCAAAGACTATTAAATTCTTTCGTTTGCTATCAATATTAGACAAGTCTAGATCATTAACATTTTTCTTAAGAAACAGTTTTATGTCGGTTGGATTGAAAGATGGATTATTTGCTTTAATGAAGTTATCTATGATATCTTTTATTTCCATTTCTTCTTCATCGTCTTCATAATATTGAAATATGTCTTGAACATCTTTCTTTGATAAATATTCTAGAGCTTTGATGAATTGATAATATGATTGCTCTGGTGTTGTTGTGTAGATTTACAGAGAATCGAAAACTAAAAGGTTTGGTGTTGTCAACATATTAAAAGTGAGATGAGTTTTCCAAGAACCTGAACTTCCACAAACACACATGAGCATTGGGTTACTAAGAAATATTTCTGAATGTTTGAATTTCTTTCCCATTTTTATTATTTTATTTTGTTCTAAATGTTTTTAAAACCTATAGCATTGCCCTTATGTTTAACATTCATTTTCCTGTGTCAAAACTATCTACTAATTTATTTAATCCATTGTTTAACAGTTTTCTTGGTTTCTTCCCCAAATTATTTTCCAAATTCTTTTATTGTGCCTAATATATCTCCAACTCCTAAACCTCGTGCTTCCTTTTCCATTGCTAAATTATGTCTGCGTTCTTCAGCGTTTTTAGCATCCTCTGCTTTCTTTGCGTTGGCAGCTTTGACTGCGGCAGATATCCCACCAGTTGCTGCACCCGCCGCTGCGATGCCACCAAATTTCAAAGGTAGTAGGAAATGGTAAAAATCCACCTTCTTTTGCGTTCGCGTCAATTCTTTCTAAGTCTATATCGTCTCTGACTTTACAATATTTGTATTAATCAATAAGTTTTTTAGTTATGCTGATTTTTTTACCATTGAAAGTTTTTACAATTTGGGAAGCTGTTTCAATAGCTTCTATTATGTTCTTGACTAAAGTTTCTGGTTTCATTTTTAAGGGTATATTTTTTACTCAATTCTTATCATTCTTCTATCTGCTATTTTAATTAAATGTTTTGCTTCTTCCAATCATAAACAATAACCGGTTACATCTCCTTGTGTTTTTTGATATGAATATTTATATTCACCCCTGTTTTAAAAAGATCTTCTTGGTGATTAGTTTGTGGTACATGATTCTGATTAGAAGTTCTATCTTTTATTTTGAAATCGCATCTGAAATAAGCATCGGAAAGAAGTAACCAATTTAATAATGAATTTATTGGTAATTCTACCACCATCATTCAACTGGGATTTAGAACCAACAGTCAGTGAGATGATAATATAATCCTCTTTTTTCTTGTTAAATGAGTAACGAATTGGATCGTATAATCTAAAGATTGGATCTAGTATTTTATTTGCCATTTTTAAGGTTTACAATTTGAGTAGAAAATGTGGTCTGTTTTCCCAAACAACTATAGATTCAATTTTAGTTAATTTTAACAGATTAAACAAATTCATATGTGTTGTTCGTGTTTTAGAATTACACTCATCTTATTTTGAAATGAGTTGATTTAATGATGAAATGTAGGGTGAATAATTTTTTTTGGGGGTGTGAATCGATGGAATGTAGGGTGTTGAGGTCTTTTTGGGGGGGTATTAGATTGGATGCATTTTTTTCCCATGGAATGAAATGGAATGAGGAAAGTGCGTCCAATCTAATACCCCATATACTACTACTACTACTAACGAAGCATTTGCTCGCAGGCCGCATTTCAATCAAATTTTACATGACGCCGGTGGCCGCACGAAATCACACAGGTCTGCCTTAAAAGGTTCTCATATGTACAACAAATATACAAATCGTATAACAATTTGCGAACGTATAACAACTTTGAGGTAACGTCATTTCCAGTTTGGATTTCGGTATTATTAAAAGTATCGATAATCTGTACGGGTTTTACTCGACATATCTTATACCCGAAGCGATTTCGTGTAAACGGATGCTCTCACACGTTCGAATCCTCCTCAAGGCAAGAAACATTGTGCCTGTGAGTTGTGAGTCCGCCTCGTGTTGGCTTTCACCCCTAATACCAAAACAGAAGTGAGTTTTATTTGTATAGTCAGATTATTTTAAACAAAATGATTCCAAAATTTTACATGTTACGGTTGCTTAAGATACATCATGTTACATAAGAAAGAAATCACAAGGTTAATCGATCCAAACTACTGACTTATGAACAATACGTCACTTGAGGTCTTTCACTCATTTTATTTATTCACTTTGGATGTTCGCTCAAGTTTAGAGCCAGAATTCAGTTTTACTGCAGATGATGATCTAAAATGGCCACGAATAAACATAACTTTCACCAAACGTGGTAAATAAAATAAGTCAAGATTTGATATTCCTTTCGGCAAAAATTGCTTAAAACTACCTAAATATTCAAAATAACGATTTTGAATTCAAAAACTCAACATGTGCGTAGAAATTCGCTTTTTGACCGACTTTGAAGAGTTCACGGTCTAAGGCTGAATACTTCTCTATTCAAACCTGTCTAAAACGTTCCGCGTTGTACGAAATTTAGTGTACGTTCATTTGCTCTTTCGGCAATAGAACTTAATTACAAATTAGTCAAAATTTACTTTTAACCTTGTTAATGAATTGGAAAGCAGGCTTATTACATGTATATCTATTCAAAATCAATTCAGGACTAATCTTATCCAAGTGATCGTAAGGGTATTTTGTTTGAGAATAATATTATACTTGAGAAAAATATTATATTTGACGGTAGAATTTAGTAGAGTTTAGTAATGATACAGATCCCGATTGTGTTTGACTGTAGTATGTAGTACAGGTCAGAAATGATACAGATATTGATAGTGTTTGACTGTAGTATGTTGTCTAGGTCAGTAATGATGCAGAGATTGATAGTGTTTG